GCCAAAAATCAAGACTGTCGGCCTTTGTTTCCATGACTAGCAGTCAAGACATTGGCATTACTGCACAGTTACACAGTGGAGTACAACAACACAAAGCTTCCATGGAAGGCAGGGTATCCATGAGTGTTTTAAGCTGGTTGGCAGGCAGCTTTCCCATCTGCTATATCAGCACCCTTGATTTAGTTGGGAGCCATTCTGCAAGAGCAATGCTGAAGACCTCTCAAGATATTAGAAAAGCCTGAATACCAAGAYACAAAATGAGTGGACATTAAAAGACAGCCATGTTGCAAAAATATGGGCTGTGGAGAAGAGAGTTCTGCCAGAGAGCACAGAAGCAAGACACAGATGGGAAGCAACACGAGYTCTTCAAGTGAAATGATCAATACCCCAAGGAGTTTCTAACTAGAAGCCTACAGGGAAAGCCATGACTTACAACAYCCCATGACTCAGTTGTAACTGCAGCTCCACTGACTCAACGGAAGTTCTGTTGCCAACTCCATCCAAATCCCACTAACACACTGGTTCCCATCCAGCAGAGCAAGCCTCACTGGTGAGACTGGTCTCAGCAGCAAGATACAAACATTACAGTCGAGGGTGGCAAGGAGCCCAAGCTAACAGACTCTGTTGGACACATGCCGGTTCCACAAGACCCAGAACGCCGACTGCAGCCAAGCGCTGCTTGAGAAACAGAGAGCTTGGGAAACCACCACATTAGCAGATGTTGCCCCACAAGAGTTGCTTGTAGGAGGTCCAATTGTTATCTCACCTCGAGGTGAGGCTTCACAGAGCTGTAACTTTTCCATCAGCATCCCCACCGTAGCAAGTGCGCTATGCCGGACTCCAGCCAGGCCAGAGAGGGCTCGCTGCTGTGGTGCACCAGCAGAGCAGTTCAAGGGCAGTACACTCACCAGCCCTGACTCAGAGACCTGTTAACAAAGCTGACAGCACTCCAAAGCAGGCACCACATGCTTTCTGCACTTAAGAGTATCTTCTCAGCTCGGAAGTGAACCTGTAGGAAACACCAGAAGTCCTCGCACTGTTGGTCAAAACAACTTCCCCACTGAAGGTTCACTGCCTGTATCAAAGTCTAGCGAGYAACAAAGGCTCCTCACATCTAATCCACAAATAAACAGTGTCTTTAAATACTACAGTGCTCTGATGCCTACTCAACAGCTCACAACCATCCCCTCAAACACATCCAYTTTTGTTTCTGCACACTTCAGAACGCTGGGAAAAACCCAACTACAGCCCCTAATTTCTTCCACAATCTTTAGCAGAGCAAGGCTACAGTTGCACTAGAACAGGAGAGAGCTGCTGTTCTAGCTAGCTGCTGATGTTTGCCACTGCTCTGCTRGTTCTTGAATAATACCTGTCCAGTCTGTTTGTTTATGGAGAGAGTTACCATAAAAGTTCCACAGATAAAAATCCATCACTTTGAGCTAAACTGCTCTCAGATAAAGGCACCAAAGTAAAGGTGTCTGTGCTCATCTTATAGGCAACATGAGAGCTGGCCAACAAAGCCCTGACAAAGCAACTCACCCCGGAGCAGACGTGCAGGGGCTGGTCAGATAATCGCTCTTTGGCTCCACTGATTACATCTCCCTGACTCTAATGAGGGCTTAAGCACCCAGCACACACAGACACCTACATTTAGGTGCCTTAGCATCAGCTGAACGCTGTCCTGAGGGACTAGGTGCCATTTGAACACAGCAAGCCCATCAATCTTCAGCTGTCATGGAGAGATGTATTAGACACCTTCTACTCTTTATTATCTCAAAGCTATTARGATGAAAATACTAACGCTGCAACACTGAAGCGCTGCAATTTTGTAATTGGCAGCACSTACCCAGGAAAAGGCCCTATCTTCTCTCTCCCAAGGAGCTCCCTACTCCTCCTCCAAAATCCCAGCTGCCCAAATGCCAGAGACAAGTGTGGAATGGCCCTCTSAGAGGTATTAGTGTGGTTCTTGGACACAGGAACCACTTCAAACAACGACAGGGTGAAATGTTAGTATACAGGCCACCTGGAGACGTCTGAGTAYTGGCAATGCAAAATACATACTTAAAATGGACTGATTTTGCTGCTAAAACAGCAGCCTACATTTCAGGTTTGTGCACTGACTTAATTTTAGAAGGCTTACAGGTTTCTTGCACTTGCTGTAACTTGTCTTGGGTTGTTAAGAGAGGATTGTTTGGTTTCCAGAAGTTTCAGAGTGCTGCCATTGAGAATGTTAGCTCTTCTCACCACTTGAAACCGAGAAACAGGGAACAAAGACTACAAAACTCACCGAAGCCCCCTTACACCATACAAACTCCAGCTCATTTGTCACTGCTCTAATCACAGCTGACCAGATACAGCAGTCACCATTTCATGGGGAGGTGGCCCCAAGAAGTGACTGTTCAGATGGAGAGCTCTGTTTCTAGCGCTCGATGAATATTGTCACACTGCTCTGTACATGGTATAGAAGAAAGTGTTTCCTCCTTATCCACTGCTTGCRTGTTTAACAAGCAAGATAGACTACCTAATTTCTTCTAATTAGYTTACCTTCAGATAGGAATGACATCACCCTTGGAAAAAAGTTTAGCCTGCTCTGCTAAGCTTGTGTCAATCACCAGCATGCGCCTGCACCAGATGAAACAATCAAACCYTGCTTCCCCTCATGATACAGGCTGGATTGCCCACTGCCCTCTTGCAGCAGGATGTGCATCTTGGCTCGGTTGATTTCATGGCAGTGTTATACTGTGTAAAAGTTTCCATTTGAGAGAACAACACGGTTAAGATGTTAAGATCTATCAGCCTTGTTACTTCAAGGAAGTCCATGCCCCCTTCATAACAAGAGAAGACAATTACTCTCATAAAAGGGTGTTTTGAGCAATAAAGTGTCACCCTGAAGGAGACCAGGAACCTCCCCAATCACTCCTGCAGGTAAAGTACTCAGGAAGGAAACAACTATTGTTTGGCCACTTTCTTGCTCCTGTTTATCATTCCACTGACAATATATGCACAGATGACTCGAGTTACACAGCAAGAGCCAAGGGCCAAGGCGTGTGCCAGCAGCAGTGGCACCCTTCCCCATGACCAGAGCACCAAGAACCCAACACAACCAYGGCAATGCACACAGCATTGGCAGATTCAAAGCACTGTGCAAGGTCACTGTAACCAACACAAGAGATTTTTGGCCACTTGATGCAAAATCTTAATTATTCCAGATGCGTGGGAAAGGCAGATTAGTCCCTGTCACTGACATTTTGACATGAGGGAAAAAAAGCTGTGTGATCACCAGAAGGGAAACAGCCTCAGTGCTGAGTCATSCTGGAGAGCCCCGAGGACTTCTGCTCCTCCATGTGCACACCCTGGAAACCCCTCCATCTGCAGTGCCACCCAGGCCTGGGCATCTCTGGGCACAGGAAAACTCCAGACAAGCATCATTTACTTCATGTCTTTATCATTTCTGGCAAGGAATATTTATCACAGGGGAATTTTATCCATGTACAGTACAGAGGCTGCAAGTTAACTGCAGTTTTTCCACTTTATTAAGCAGAAGCTTACTCAGAAGCTGAGAGCAGAGCCCTCCTCCCATGGAACAGTGCTGCCTACACTCACATGTTTGTAATTTTTAGCTATCTCATAACGACTCACTGCCATGTGGRCTATGAGGGTCCATGTCCAGAGCTACAGGCAAAGTTCACAGAACGGTATAGCAAAAACAGAGGTATTTTGAGCAGCTCAGATCCCACTGTGCACTTTGTTCTGCCACTCCTTATCCGATTGGTGCTGCAATTCATCGCTAGTCAAGTTTTAAACCGACTGCTCCATTTCAGAAACAAAAACCGCGCCACTTTAGACTGATAGCCCTGCCTGCTCACACACTACCTCACTCTCCATTTTAAACATCTAACCCATCCAAAGGCAAAGACTTCACAAACGGTGTACACTCAGGTCCGGTGGGGGCACATGGGGAGCAGGGAGGTGCGTGTCCCTCATCTCAGACGGAAGGGATGGGATTGGGGCTTTGTGCCACAAGGCTTTGTGCTCCTGCCCCGCACCTCGACCGCACACAGGGCTCGCCCAGGCTGCAGCAGAGCTGGAGCAGCGAGCACGGCACTCACACCGCTGCGGAGCCAGGGTTCCGCCGAAAGGCGCTCGCAGGCGGGCCGGSAGCGGGAGCGGGAGCAGAGCCATCCCCTGTCCGCGGATGACACCTGGCGGCTGCTGCCGCGGGACCAGGGCTCCCCAGGGCTCAGGGCTGCCCCGAGAGCTGCTCCCGGGACACGGCAGCCGGGACAGGCCTCGCTGCCGCGGGGTCACCGCGCTCCGGGGAGCGGGGCCAGCTCCGAGCACCGGCACCGGGGCMGCCGTGCGCCCGGCCGGACACCAGAACCTCGTTTCAATGGGCACAAAGCAGAGTCCGGGTGTACCCTGCACTGGGCTGGGGCTCTCGGGCACAAAGGCGGCGGGGAGCTGTGCCGGGGCACGGCAGGAGMGCCCCCGCTTCAGGAGTGACCCGTGACTTCGGCCACGGCCGAACCACAAAGGGCCGCATGCCAGCGCTGCCCCGGACCCGCCGCTCAGCGACAGCCGCAGGAACGGCGGCAGCATCCCACCCCCCCGGCCCCTCCCCGGGCACACCGAGGGGTCCCGCGGCCGGCGGGGGCAGCGGGGAGCGCCGTCCGCCCGCCCCACGGCGCCCCGGGGCGGAGCCGCCGGCAGGTCGGGAGCCGCCGCGGCGGGTCTGGTTTGAATTAAGGCAGCCGGGGCAGCCGGGCTGGAGCCCGCCGCCAGCACAAAGGCCACCGCAGCCCTCCGCCCGGGCAGGGCTGGGCACCACTGCGCTCCCCCGCGGGAACCCGTCGAAGCGGGGAGCCGGGCGGTCCCCCCAGCTCAGCCCTGCCCTGCCCGGCTCCCCCTGCCCCGGCCCGGCCCCGCCGCCCCGGCCCCGCACCGCGCCCGGGCCCCGCCGCCCCACGTGCGCCGCGCCCGCCCCGCTCCGCCGGGCTCACCGGGACAGCAGCCTGGAAGCAAAGGGCCACCAGCCACACGGCCACCACGTTTATCATCCTTCCTCCTCGCCGGGCCTCGGGAGCGCGCAGCTTGCTCTTGCTCTTGCTCCTGCTTCCCGCCGTCTCCGCCGCCGCTCTTACTCCGCTCCTCTTAGAATTGTTTCAAGCAGCTGCGGCTTTGCTCCCTTTCCTGTTTAGTTGTTTGTTTGCTTTTTAAATTCCCTCTTTTTTTCCCCCACTTCACACGCCGCCGAATCAACCTCCCAGCAGCGCTCTGCGATGGCGAGGAGTTGAACTCTGTCTTTTAATGAACCCCTGCAACAACCTTCACCTTACGGCCACCCCCCTGCCGGCCCCGCCTCCGCTCCCCTCCCCTCGGCTCAGCCCGGCTCGCCCTGCCCTGCCCCACCGCCCGCCCCCGCTTCCTGCCGCCGCGGTACCTGCGTCGGTGCCCCCTCCCCGGCCGCTCTCCCCCGCTCCCCGGCCCGTCCTCCGGCCGCCGCCGCTTTCCTTCCACTGCATTCCCACATTTCCTCTCTGGCAGAGGCATTGCTCCCGCCGAGCTTCCTTCCCTCTCGCTAAAAATAATAATAATTCTTCATAATAATAATAACGATACTGTTAAAAGCCCTCCCTTCCCGTCCCACTGTGGGAAAAGCCCGGGGGCGCAGCCGCCTCCCCCCGGCGGSGCTCCGGAGAGAGGGGCGGGAGCGCTCCCCGGTGGCCCCGCACCCTGGACAACCCTCCTAGGTCCCGGTCACCTCCAGCGGGGGCTTCTCCCCCCCAAAAAAAATGTTTTTATGGAAGTGAGGTGTCCTCCCTCGTGCCCGCGGGTCCCCGGGGTCGGCCCCACAGCCTCTGCCCGTGCCTTCGTGCACACGGTTTTCTGCCGCCCGGAACAGGATTTCTGGCACTGTAAAACGCTGCCAGAGGTTTGCGGCAAAAAATGKTACTTTGAAAGAAGCGCCCTCCTGCAACTCGCCTTTATTTTCTGRAGTTAAAAGCGACTTCAGTGCTGCTGTGGCTTGGTCTTGGCACATTCCACCGAGGATGGCAAAAATGAGGCAACGGCCATCCAGCAAAAACGCACCATGGATTGTATCACGCTGCCACAGGGTCAGGGCTGGAGTTCCTGTTCCCTTCCAGTCCATTCATTTGTCTTATTTTCTCTGTTTGTGCCAGCACATGTTGAAATGTTTGCTGTAAACAATGCAGCTGAATGTGTGTGCAAATATTATAAAAAAAAAAAAAAGGCAGTCAGTTTTTAGGAATTTTTACRGTTGCTGGGATGTGTAGCAGCGCACACTGGCCACACGGCCAATGGGCACTGCATGGCCATGGGGCAGCTGGATGGATGAGGRATGTGGCTAAGGCTGCAGCCACTGGGCCCTGCTGCCCTGGGGCTGCTTGGGGGAGGGGTGACCAAAAATGAGCTGTAACTGGTGTTTCTTGGCTGCTCTGGAGGCTCTCAGTGGGTGTTGGTCAATCTGTGCCAGAATCAGGATCCCTTCCCACAGCTGTGGCCCAAAGGCTTTATAGACCTAATTGGATATTCAATGTGGCTAAAACTGTTGAGATTTTATCACGTCTTTAATTAGCTTTCTTTCTTTCCCTCTCTCTTAAATTACTCATGCAGCTCCTACCATCCTGCCTTTCCCTCAGATGAGCTGTGGCCACCATGTTCTTCTTTCTCCCTGCCATATCTTGAACCTAGTGCAGCCAGAACATTGGAGATGAGACTTTTGGGATGGGGCTTAGGTCAGAGGTGCTTGGGGCTGAGGCCTGCAGAGTGTGAGGATGAAAATATCACCCAGACTTGGTGGGCAGGTGGTGACATCCAGCTGCACAGTCATCAGGATATGCATGTTGGGCACTGTTAACCTTCTCAGCAGGTTTTGGTGGAGCAGGRGTCAGTTTGGCCAAGGCTGCATCTGGTGGACCCTGGCAGCCCAGAGGAGGGAGGGAGCAGCCACAAGGCTGCTGCTGGGAGCAGTGGCGAGGCGTCACTGGGGTTGAGTGGCGCATGGGTTTCATGCCAGCATGGGCGTGTGTGCGTGTTCRATCAAACAGCGCTGTGGTGCCGCTTGTTGGATTGGCCAGAAAACGTTCAGAGCTCRATCGGGATGTTCTGCTCGGGATCTGTGAATGGGGTAAGGGAAGAACAATGCTGCGTTTGGGAGCCAAGTGTTTTCAGTGACATTCCCGTGCCCTCCGCTTGATCACTGAAGCATGTTAAGTGTTGTGGTTTCAGTCAAAAGAACTCCATGCTGAAAAGCCAGATGAGACTTGCATGGAGAGGAGTTTCTTGGCAGCCCGGAGCTCAGGGGATCACAGGAGTTGGTTGCCTCTGCCCAGTACAGTGGAGCTGTGGGGATTTCCCAGAATTGGATCAAGGGCTTCCAGCAGTGTAACCCAACTGAACTCAGTCTCCCTGGGGAAAAGGGGCTGGTGTGAGATATGTGCTGCCATGGGAAGAGGGGAAACACAACCGCAGGAGGAATCCAACCCACTGCTTCCCCACCACCAGAGGTGGGCGAGGAGCAGGGATGGCAACTGTTGCTTTTGAGCAATGACCCTTCTGCACTGGGTTCTGGAGCAGCAACCCTTATCCCCTATCCTCACTAATACCAGCATCACACAGCAACTGGAGCTGCCTGCCTGGCTTCCCGGTGTCAGACCGACCCACAACAGGGTGTGAGGAGGTGCCACTGTCATTGCRTGTCCTCTCCTTGCAGTTGCCTGCCAGCAGCAGTGCAGCCTGCAGAGCAGATGACTGATGACTGCTTCTCCTCCTGAAGGCTGGTGTCATTAATGTGTCCTTAAATAATTCATTAACGAACTGTGACCAGGTGGGGTCGAGTTAGAAAAAGCTGATTCTGCTTTGAGCCCCTTACCAAGGACTGGATTGTAGCTGTGACATCAAGCTGGACAGACTCACACAGCACATCTCAGTGATTTCATCTGCTGACAAATTTGTTCAAGTATGTTACAGCCTGACATCCTGGAATAGAGAAGAAGAGTATATTCCCTAATACAAAGTGCAAGGTTAGAGTATGTGCAAAAACTGAGATTGCTCTAAGTGTCCAGGCTGCCTGTTTACTGGGGTTGACAGTTCACTGCTCACATGTGCTATCTCTGGTGGTTTCCCTGCTGATGATTGCCATTTTCTCTATTTTTGCTTTTGTGGCAGAGAGACAAATCTGTTTTTCCCTCTGTGTGGTAGCTCAGTTGACTAAAGGGGATTTTTCAGAACAGGAAACCCACAGCTCTCATGTGTTTCACTTCTCAGGTAAAACRTGTACGGAAGGCTTGGGGTGAAAGCCTGAATTTGTGTGGTGGTTGCTGAACAGGACAGAGAGGAAAGAGGGTGCCCCTGGACACATGGGGCACTTACAGGATGTTGAATATATTTAGTTAAATGCATTCAGATTCAGTCTGCCCTAGAAACTTCTTGGAGTGAGCTGGGAGATGCACCCAAGACAAGGAATGGTGTCTGGGAAGGGCTTGAAATACTGTCACTGATAATCCCATCAATGTCAGGGRTTTTCTCAAGGATGGTGTCTCGGAATGGTGAGCTGGCAGCAAGAAAATGTGATCAGTGGAGATGGAGGAGGAAGGATTGTCCTGACAGGAGGAGGTTTGGATGGTGTGGCTGATTTGGAGACTGTGTAGACAGAAAAATGTGCAAAGTTTCATTTGCTGCTAGCCTGAAGCTTTTCTTCTTCTTCCCCTTTCAAGTTCCTCTGGCCAGTGCCTCTATTATCCATGGCTCACACCACATCCTTCTTTTTCTGACTCCATGCAGTAACAAAGGAGCAATCCACCCAGTCATCAAACCAATACGAGCGCTAAGAACGAGTCTGCAGAGGAAGCAGCCTGTACCTTCAGCCTTGGATCACCGAGAGCTTGTCTGCCAGCGTGCAGCATTTGGCATCCAGTCATTGTGCTACTAATCTTCTGGGTCCCCAGACACAGGGCTCCCCTGTCCACCAGGCCATTTCTCTTTGTTCAGCCTGGTGGCACCAAATACACTTAACTCTTCCCAAYTCCTTGCATGCCTTGGCAAATCCTGTGCAGTTTGGTTTGGATGTCTTTTTGCACTGATGTAGAAATAATCGATTCTGACCCTTTCCCGTGCAACTGTGACTTGCAGCAGAATCACCKGAACGCACCCAGTTTGCCTGCACGGTGATATCTGATTTTGCTTGTTCTGTCCGGCCGCTTTTGCAGTGAGTCAGACATCTCTRAGCAACTCCATCTGCCTCCTGGCTTTCACTGCCAGGAAGTGAGAGACCAAAGGAGACGCCCCTGTGGCCCACCCTAAGGTGTGGAGTGTGAAGTTAGCCTGCGGCCATACTGCTCTGATCTCCTTTCTTCTCCCCAGTGTAACGCTCTGCTGGAAGGGGTGACCTTGCTTATTTGGGCAAGAATAAGCCTTCTTGCAAAAAAAATCTGAGGTTGGCTTTTTTTTTTTTTTTTCAGCTTAAACAATGCAAAGAGTAATGGTCCAAGTGTCAGGGTAGCTGCAGTGTTGGCTGTACAGTTACTGACTGAATTAACTTGGCTGCGGGTCCCAAGAGTTTGGTGACCTTTTTCTTTCTCCTTTATCCCCTTTCCCTGCGCTCTGCTAATGAAAACTACTGTGTGGACACTGGAAACTATATAAATGTGTCTGTGCCACTAACCAAATAATTCTTGACCTAATTAAGCAGAGCTTCCTTTGGCAAAAACCCAGCTGGCACTGGCATGCCACTTTTGTGATAGTTTTCATAAACAGCTGTAATAAAAGCAGCTGCATTTCTTTGATGCTGCGTGTGAGGGCCTGGTGGGATCCTGCATGCTCATTACCGAGAGCCTCAGAGCTGGATTTCGAGGGCTGCTGCATGAAAATCTTCGGAGGGGTTTCCCATTAGCCTGAAGTTACACGGGTGTTGCCCACAAGAAAGGACTGACTCGCTCTCTCTAAGGAGGCCTTTTCCTGTAATACTGGCTGCTGCTTTCACTGTTCAACAATTCTGGCCCACCACTCTCAGGGCTTGTGGACTAGGCAGGTATTTCTGAAAGCACTTACCTGAATAAGCACTCTTCAGTTGTTCTTTCCTTGCCCAGGGAGATGCTCTGCTGCCTTTCTGTTCCCCCTGTGGTCAGTGACTCACGCTGAATTGTGGTGCACGATCCCTCGACCTCCGTGACCCGAAATAATGTGGGCACAGAATGGGGTTTGTCCTGGCATGAGAATGAGCATGGGGAGAAGGGCATCATGATTCCCAGGAACACAGGGGCTGCTGGGAGCTTTGGAGAAAAGGCAAGGAGCCCAGGGAGGACAGAGCCACCRC